AAAAATGCCTATAGGTACAAATAAGAAACGGACAAACGGGTCCAACCCCCCTTGGAATGGGGGTCGTTTGGCTTCATTTTTTACTCTGCAAAGCTCTGATTAGCTGTTTTATAGCCATGCTAGAAAGCCAAAGTTCAAAGCTTGCTAAAGAATTTAGATGAGCTGTTTCAAAGACTTCTACTTTAACTGGAAAGACTAGATCAGACGTCATTTACTGTTACCTAGCCTGAGTTTATGATAAGTATTTTGTTACCTGTGACTGGGGTTGGGGAAGTCCTGATCCTTTTTTTCTTTGGCAAAGTGCACTAAAACTTTCCTGAAACTAAACAACTTTTTTTTAATCTCTGCTCAAAGGTTTGACTAATCCAAATTTTTCACACTTTGATCTAGTCAATGGAAACCCTCACATCAGATATAAACTACATTGTGGTTAATATCTGATTTCTTAGATAGCTGGTGTCGCCTTTACTGAATGGTGTCCAAGATGGTGGGGCGTTTGTTGCTTTTACTGATTTATTTCACTCAAACTGCTTAGTGTAATGCAAGTATATGAGTGAGATCATGCTTTTTAATATGTTTAATCATTCATTTCTAACTGGATTCAGAAATTCAGGCTAATTTAGACATTTACCTAAATATTTCAAAGGTAAAACTGATTTGATATTAAATGAATGTGTGTTTTATGGTTCCGTGAGAAAGTGAAGTTTATAATTTTTTACCTGGTGTGGGAATGGGGAACATGAGATTTCCCTCCTCAGTGGATATAGTGACTTCTATCCCCACCTGCTGCAGCAGAGCAGGGTGGATCCGTAACAGCTGGCCCCATACTACACCGGGGTTGTGAACCCTGTCTGTGTGCTTGTATCGGGACATCAGCCTGTTGAAGTAGTCAAAGAAAACACGCGTCACCGTTAAGAAACGTAACTATGGAAACTAAAAGCTACCTGAACCTGAAAAGTATCAGGAAACGAAAAAACGTTTCGCATGACAAACATTTTTAAAAGAGTGTCTTACTGTGATGTTGCTTTGCTGAATGAAGCCAAGTTCTTTGTGCTGCCTTCTGGAGAGTCTAGCAGTGTAATGGCCCATGGATCCTAAGTGTAAAAAAACCCAAATAATTCACTTCTTTTTCTTTTTCCTTCACTTTCCAAATTCAGTTTGGGACAAACACGTCTAAGATATATATATTAAACATACTCACATGAGGTTTTACTTCTGTTCTGGACCGAACCCACCTATGTCGAGCCTCGATATCACATGAAATCTGCTTTTGGCTACAGCCGAAAGGTGCCGGATTCCTGGGGGGCAGAGGAGGGGGTTGACCTCTGACCGGGGCAGGAGTACTCGGTAACCGTATTCTAGGAGGAACCGGTGGTGGATCGTTCCTAGGAGCCTCTCTTCCTCTATCTTCAGTCCGGTTTTCAAGTGTCGGAATGAGCCCAGATAGGGAGGTCTCATACAGATTATTTCCTGATATGGATTCATAATCATCATCTAAATCGTCCCTCAAAGGACTCGGGTCGTCGGTGACAGGATTCTGTCTCAAAAGAAACTCTCTTTGAGCAGCCATAGGATTTTTTTAAGGAGATATGGCACAACCTGGTTTTAATTGATGGTGTTTAAACTGCTGCGCTGGTCCTTACTTCATGGCAAGACAAAACGAAGAGCTAAAAGACAAAACAAACACGAGTGAATTACATTAGAGCTTGCACCTTAATCCAGGAAGGATGAGTGAGTCGTTTTATGAGCGCCTTTAAACCTGAAGGTCTATGTTGATCTAATCATTAACAAGTTTTCAAATGTCAACAGGAAATCCAGCAGAGCGCGCCAGTAGATCTATGGAAATACCCTCAAACTTGAAATAACCGCTTAGAATTAGTTATTTTAACTGTAAATAAAACTTCAATCAATCAGAATAAATAGAGATAACAGAGAAAAGATGTCTAAAAAAAATCCTAACATGGATCAGAGATGCATAAGTCATCTTTTGATGTTAGTCATAGTGAAGATCTAAACGTTTGTTGTTTAGTAATAGTTTAGCAGGAAAAACTTACGATCAGAGTTCTGATATCAGGACAGCCATTCTTGTTCACGTTGAATTCCCGTATGAAGCCATGCAGAGCAAGTCAGACCTGTACTGCTGCTCCCAGCTGAGCTTCCTCAGCCCTCCTACTGCAACAAACCCAGCAGGTGCGCGCAGCTCCACCACTCCCTCTGCTGGAGAAAGCTAAACATTACACCATGCACCTCAGAAGATGAAAGAGGTTTTAAAAAAAAACTAAAAACATTAATAAACAATACGGATGAAAACATGATTGCTCTGCATTAATTGTTTGCATTTAGTTCCTGAAAGCTGTTTATGACCAATAGATAAATTAATAATTGAGAAAGCCACTAATTCACTCCTCACTCAGGAATGTGGGAGAACAGGTTGAAGAATGGAGATCTGATTCTGTTGGACAGTAGAGACAGAAAGAGAGGAAAAGCAGGAAGACGGCTGACAGTGAAGCTCTCTGCAGATTATCACACACGGTGAGTTTCAAATGATATTTTATTTTTCTTCCAAAGTCACTCTTTCCTCTCCTTTGACCACAATATTGGTTTTTTGGTGAATGTTTAATGTATTAAAGTTTCATTTGTTTGCCCCATTTGTAGAAGCAGTTATGGATCCTGATGCTTAAATCTTTAGATGTTGGAAATGATGGCAGCTTCTATTTGAATGGGTGGAAGAGCTGCACAGAACAAAAACACCCAAACAACAAGAAAAGAAACAGAAAATGAATCAAACTACTACTTTTCCATCAACTCCAAATATAAAACCTGAATTCCCCGGATACTATGCCCTCATCCCACTGATAGTGCTCACATTGAGCGGATGTATAGTGGCATTGGTGAGAATCTGTCTACTTTATATTTAAATGCAATTAATATAGAAAAAAAAAAACATTTTATAATAATGCTGTATTTTTTTTTTTTTTAGGTGTTTTATATCAGAAAGAGAAGAAGGTAAGAACTTCGGATGCAAAACCAAATCCTTTCACACAGGAAATAAATAAAGTTTAAATCGAAACTAGCACCTGGGTCCTTTGATTCGCGTCTCTTTTAGCTCCGCCGTTAGGATTTGAAAAGGAATAAAATAGCTGTAAAAATGTAAATATATTAACTGACCTGTGCTGTACGGGGGAAATCAAGCTCTTCCTTTTTTGCTTCAAGCGAAGCAGAAAGCTGCTCTGATGAGATCATTCAGTTCCACTCAGTTCTGTCAAAAACTCACAGCAGAAGCTCCGGTGTGAAGTCACAATCAACTCATTTCCTGTCTTTGGTGACGTAAGGCCTGGACATCCGGATGTTTATAAAAACAGCGCTATCTTTAAACGCCGGCAAAAAGATAATTACGTTTCCGTCAACTAACCAACCCGATACAGGGGTTTACCGTGGTTCATGAACGCAGCATGTATGCGTCACCAACGCAACACATCCGCTGGTTTGTTCTCACCGCTCACGCGCACAAGTTCAAGGAGGTCTGAGACCAGGGCGGCTGGGAGTCATTTTGAGCTGGGGTTGCTGGGAATTCTTATTTTTATTTTTGACAAAAGACCTATGAGCCTCTTTCAGAAGAGGATGAAGGCCACTGAAAAAATAAAGTTAACTGATTTTTTAATATACGGTAATTTCAGTTTAATATGGGAAAAAAGTCAGAATTCTGAC